AAAAGAGCCGGCTCTTTTGGCTCCCAAGTGGCTCCTCAGATTTTCTGTTGCGTAGAGTACATTTATAACCAAAATAATACTAAACTATATGTAAAATAATTTACTAATGTAAAAAAAAGCAATATATCAAATATTTATCATTTCTATGGATTTAATAACTGAACACTTTAAGAAATCTCCACTTCCCTACTGCTGGCGCTCATTTTCTCACCGTCTTCGTCGCACTCTCCTCTCTCTCGCTCGCCTTTTTCCTCCTCCTCATTCCCTCTCGTCTCCCTCCACCCACATATGCTCTGCTGTGTGTCTGTCTGAGTCTGATTCTCCCTCTTCCCCGCCTCTACTGCTCTGTGTGTGGACAGTCTGGACACGCAGTTACACATGTTGACCAATCACATGTAGCTTTCACCAAGGCAGGGGGGGGGGGGGAGGGGGGAGGGGAGGGGACGGCTCCCAATGACGAGCCGGCTCCCATCGTTCACTTCAAAGAGCCGGTTCGTTCGCGACCGACACATCACTACAGGCTAGCAGATTCTCGCACGAGGGGAAAATCGGCTCAGGTTTACTTATTTTTTGCACAGGCATTTGTTTACTGTGAAGTAAATTTGAAGTGCTGAAGTTATGCAAACTAATTTTGAATAAAACTTGAAGAATAACTGGCAATTGCTTGCTCATTTTAAGAGGTCTTTCATAATTATAACATGCTATTTGATATCAAATCACTTTTATTGTCACGTCACATGTGCAGGTACACTGGTACAGTACATGCGAGTGAAATTCTTGTGTGCGAGCTTCACAGCAACAGAGTTGTGCAAAAATACAGTAATGTAAAAACAAGTAAAATATAAAAATGGCTAATCTAAGTATACAAATGAATAAAGTAAACAATAAGATAAGAGATATAAAATGTACAGAGGTTGGTATGTGCAAAACAGTGGCATTAATGTACAGTGTGGAGCGTGTAATGTTGGAACTTGGTGGAGCTCGCGACGAGGCAGCCATACTCGGCGCCATCTTGGCTCATCAATATATGATATAATGGTTTACAAACACAAAAGGGTAATTTATTAGAGTACTCGATTAATCGAAAAAAAGATTCGATAGAGTACTCGATTACAAAAATATTCGATAGCTGCAGCCCTAGTATAATCACACATTAATAATATTATTATGCATGTTTATAATATTTACTTCACATTAATGCTGAACATATGTACTTCATGTGACAGGATGGACGTCCGGTCACTGCATCTCGATAGATCATGCGCCCTGGCTTGGCCATGGGGATGTCCCTTTGGCTGACTGGTTAGCATGTGTGATTCTAAACCGGGAGCCTGCCTGGGCTCTCGTTTCTCCACCATGCCACATTCACATTAATGTTTGACATTTTTAGTTCACATTAAGGGAGATAACCTCTAAGTGTTTGGGAAAGGAGTGGCGTCTGACATCTTTGATAATGCCCACATTAATAACGTTACTGAAAGAGAGTTCACTTCCTGAACACGTCAGTTCTAGCGAGCTGCCTGGTTTGGCCGACTGTTTCAGTAAAGCGTAAGGAACCATCCTCCAGGTCAAATCTTGTTTGCAAACTTTCAAAACTGCATCAGATGCAAAATAGTTATGCCAGCTTCCAGCAGTCACCTGGCTGCTCAGACCAGCGGTTCGGTATTTGGGGTGGAACTACGTGCCCCAATACCACAGTAGTCAACTTCACCTGCAGCCTGTCCGAACTGACTTTTCAGGCCCTTGGATCGCCGGGAGCCTTCACTACAAAGGGTTTGTAGATTCTGCACAACTGGTGGGGATGGTTTTATTAATTGATAGTTTGTTAAACCATACAGTCAGACTGATTTTACAACCCAAACATCACAAGTTTCTAAGACACTTAATAAGGTTTTCATTCAATGTCTCAGTTATCTTGTTTCAACCATCGTTCATCATAATTTGTCATCATTAGTAGTAGAAATATATAATTACATTGACTTTTTTTATAAACTTTATTTTTGCCTCTGTCTCAAATTATTAAGAAGACGTGATTTCCCTGAACTACCAAAAAGACCTGGTTTAATCTTAGATCAAATTTCAAAAGATCAATAATATTGATAATTCATATTTGTAAGGAATCTCACATCTTATCATTCTTTTATTAAAAGTAAAAATAATAATAATAATACATTTTATTTAAAAGCACCTTTCAGAACACCCAAGGTCACTTGACAGAAAATACATTAAAACAGCAATAAAACAACAATGAAACGCAAAGAAGAAAAAACAAAGAGAGAAAAAGTTAAATAAAATCAGAGGTCATAGGCAGATTTAAACATGTGTGTTTTGAGTCTGGTTTTGAAAAGGGTGAAACTGTCGATGTTCCTGATGTCTGGGGGGAGTGAGTTCCAGAGACGGGGAGCAGTGTGGCTGAAAGCTCTGCTCCCCATGGTAGCGAGACGGCCAGAATGAACTGCAAGATGGATGGAGGAAGAAGATCTGAGAGAACGGGAGGGGGTGTTAATACGTATAAGGTCTGAGATGTATGGAAGAGAGAGGTAATGGATGGCTTTGAAGGTATGGAGGAGAATTTTGAAGATGGACCTGAATTTAACTGGGAGCCAGTGAAGCTGCTGGAGAACCGGGGTGGCGTGGTGAAAGGAAGGGGTTCTGGTGATAATACGGGCTGCTGAATTCTGGACCAGTTGCAGTTTATGAAGGAGTTTGTTGGGGAGACCATAAAGAAGTGAATTGCAATAATCGAGATGGGAGGTGACGAGGCTGTGGACGAGAATGGCGGCAGTGTGAGGGGTAAGGGATGTAACCACTTACAACACGTTACAACAATTCAGTTTATTTACATAGGGCCAAATCACGACAAGAGTCATCTCAAGGCACTTCCCAAAGTAAACATTCCACTGCAGGTCAGTTCATTAAGCCAATCAGTAAAAAGTTTCCTATGTAAGGAACCCAGCAGAGTGCATCGAGTCACTGACTTGTGTCAGTATCTTTACAGAAATCCAAAACACAAAAGTTAAAAGTTTAAAGCATTTGTGTTGTGAGGCTTTTTTCATTTGTATAGTTGTTTTTGAAATATACTTTGTAACAAATCAAAGGTCAAAATGACCAGAAAGTAATTTTTAATGTGCAGACTCAAAGTTACCATCTGTCTGGCCTCCAAACCAGAGAGCTACAAAGGAGACGTAGCATCTTCAGCCAAGGTCTCATGCAGAAGCGAGAGTCCTGCATCTTTACTCTGTATAAAGTTCATCTTCCTGAAAGTTTATAGGTGACGTTACAATTTATAGGTTGAAATAATCAAATGTGTTGAATGAACAAGATGTTTTCATTTATCAGTATACTCACACACATTATAAGAAGATTGTTATTAATGCTTAACATTCACTTCACATGTTGACACAAAGAGTTAACCTCTCTGAATATCTGACTGAAGGCGTGACATTCTGAGCTGTTTTGAAAATGCCTTCAAACCTGTCAAATTCTGATTCGCCAAATTTATCAACAATGTGATTTGATAAAACAGGAATTACTTCCTGATCTAGTCAGTTTCTAGCTGCCTTCCGAGCCAGCTAAATCAGGGAAACAAGCATTTTGAAACCATTCACCTTTTGACCTCAGGTCAAAACCTCTCTGCAACGCTTGGTGATATCAAACAAAACGGCTCTTTTGAGAGCCACGAACAGAATTAGATGCAAAACAAGCATTCCAGCTTCCTGCCTCCACCTGGAAGATTACCCAGACTAGATGGGTCGAAATCTGAGCTGGCTACGAGCTCCGATACCAGAGGTCCACGCCATCGGCAGTTTACATCTCGACCTCCTGACCCCCTGGATCGCTTGGGGATCTTCACACAAGGACGTGCAGACTTGACACAAATTGTGTCAGTCGTTATAAACAAATCTCTAGCTTATAAAACTATACTGCCAAATTGATTTTACAACCCAGACTTCACAAACTCTCTCAGATACGTAAGAAAAGTTTGCATAAAACATCTAGCTTCCATTCCATCATCTCATCCATTACATTCAATCACTTTATCCATTGCGTTCCATCATTCCTTTCATACCTTGTCTTGTACAATCATTAGTTTAGGGAAATTGAATTAATTCACTTTTATAAACTAAACTTGACTGAATTATTATGAAGTGTGCATGGTCCCTGATAAATAAAAGAAACTAAAGTATTCTGATTAAACATTCAAATATCAATCAGATTGATATTACATATTCATATGGACTTATCACATCTGGTTGATCATTTGTTACATATGTAGCCAAATGTGGTAAAAATTATGAGAAAAAACCTTGTAAACTAGCTTGTATGGGGTTCTGTATTTTTATTTTTATTTTTGTATATTGCTACTAAAGTATCTAGGTGAGGATAAACACGGAAGTAGGGCTAGAATAAAGATGAAGGCCAGGCCACCCAAATGAACCACCGCTCACTTTTGGTCTTAGCAGAGTAGGGACCTGATCCATGTGGACCCAGTAGGCTGAGTCTCTAATGCTACCCCTCACACACACACGCACACGTACGCACGCACGCACGCACGCACACACACACACACACACACACACACACACACACTCACTCACTCACACTCACTCACACACACACACACACACACACACACACACACACACACACACACACACACACACACACGCTCACACACACACACACACACACACACACACACACACACACACACACACACACACGCACACAAACGCACACACACGCACACACACACGCACACACACGCTCACACACACACACGCACACACACACACACACACACACGCACTCACACACACACACACACACACACACACACACACACACACACACACACACACACACACACACACACACACACACACACACACACACACACACACATACACACACACACAAGTTCTAAAGCTAAGATCCAGTTTTCTTGCCTTTGTAAAAGGAAGTGAAAATAAGTCTGAATGAACCAACAGAAGTCTTACAGTCTGAGTCTTTGCTGTCACTGGACGCACTCAGCCTCTCAGCAGCCCCCTGGATGTATTTGTTGTACAGTTTGATCCTCAGGGCCCAGCTTAAATCAGGCTCCCTCACTGTGTTCTTCAGCCTCCGCCGAGCATTTGCAAACCAGTTAGAGACCTGCACAGAGATCAGATGTTTTATAAGAATAACCAGCCGGCTCACAAATTAAAACATCATGATCTGGTCTCACCTGGACTAGCGTCATTTGTGAGCCCAGAGCCAGCAGGACCTTCTCAGTTTTAGTGGGGTAAGGGTTTTCCCGATGCTTGTAGAGCCAGTGTTTTAACGGCCGGGCCATGTCCTGAAGAACTTGTCTCTTGTGGCGAACTTGAACCCCACTAAGGCAAGACCTGTAGGAGTCAGAAGACACGGTGAATTCACTAAAAACACTCTTTGGACTTTGACACAAAAACATCACATGTATCCTCCACCATGGTCAAGACCAGAGAGCTGTCTAAGGACAGGATTGCACACTCAACTCAACTCAGCTTTATTTATAAATCGTGCCTTACAGACAAAAAGATGCCACCAGGGCGCTACACTGATCAAATAAAAACATAAAACATTAAGTCCAGAAAATAAAACTTTGTATCACACGATATAGATAAAAATACAATGAGTAAAATCGCTATAAGTAAAACAATAAAACTAGTTAGAAAGGTTAAAAGACAGTTCATAAAAATATGTTTTTAGCCTTGCCTTAAAAACCGCAACAGAGGTGGAAGCCCTTATGCTCAGAGGAAGCTTATTCCAAAGCTTAGGACCTGCCACAGCAAAAGCCCTATCACCACACGTCTTTAGACGTGTTCTTGGGACCGAGAGGAGCATGAGGTTCTCCGAGCGGAGTGACCGTGAAGGGGTGTATGGTTGAAGTAGTGACACCAAGTAAGGAGGGGCCAAACCATTTAACATTTTAAAAACTAGTAAAAGTATTTTAAAATGAATCCTAACATCAACGGGCAGCCAGTGAAGCGCAGCCAGGACAGGAGTAATGTGGTCAGACTTGCGCCTGCCCTCTAAAAATCTGGCAGCAGCATTCTGGACCATTTGCAACCTGGCTATTGAGCCCTTGCTCACACCGAATAGAACAGAGTTGCAGTAGTCCAATCGCACCGTAATAAAAGCATGGACCACCGTCTCAAGATCATGACGTGTCAAAAACGGTTTGATCTTTGCCAGCCGACGAAGGTGGAAAAAGGAGGAGGAGATCTCTCCATTGATGTGGGTATCATAACTAAGGGCGCTATCCAGTTTAACACCAAGATTAGTCACCGATGTAGTCAGCTGGCCATTAAATGACCCACAGTCAGTTAGGGAAGAGTCACAGTGTATGCTTGGAGCAAACAATATAGCCTCTGTTTTCTGATCATTTAGGCTCAGAAAATTTCCAGTCATCCAGGTCTTGATCTCCCTCAAACAGTTTGTAAGAGTAGAAATAGAGAGACCGCTTGACGTGTTCAGAGGCAGGTACAGCTGACAATCGTCAGCATAAAGGTGGAATTGAACTCCAAGCTCACGACAAATGTCACCTAAGGGCAGAATGTAAATAGAAAACAACAAAGGTCCCAATATCGAGCCCTGTGGTACCCCCCAAGGTAGATCAGAGGCAAGCAGCTTGGTGAGAAGAGATCAACTGTTGCAGCAGTTATTAGAAAATCAAACAAATACAAGATCACTGACAATCTCCCTCGAACTGGGGCTCCACGCGAGATCTCACCTAATGGGGTACAAATGATTTCATGAATGGGGAAGAATGCGATACATGATTAAGTCACCTATCGTTTAGTATATAAATGAATAAAATAAAATGTATTTATAGAGCAACTTTCACAGATATCACAACGTGCTACAACAAACCTATTCTACTTGTTTTGGCTCTTACATTCTTGAAAAGCTGTCACACAGAAACAGCAGAACAATCCTACCTTCGGTACGTCAGGGCGGAGCTGTTGTCAGTCGTCTTCTGGCTGAGCAGCATGTCTGTGTCCTGTCTGTCTGGCAACCTCGTCTGAGGTAAGTCTGCACAGTTCAAACCGCTCCTTTCCGCTGCTCTCCTGCTGTCATCCAAATCAAGCCCAGTATCCGACTTCATAGTCACAATTTTTTCCATAAAAAAAACAAAACATTTAGTTCTCCTCAATCAGCAGGAGCGTCAGCAGACTTCCAGAGGCCAACAGAACCAGGTTCCTATTGTTTAAAGATCTGATGGAAAAGCAGAACAAATCAAACTGCCTCCCCTGCCTGAGGAGAGTCAAGCTGGAGAATAATGTTCCTGAAGTCAAATGATGGCTGGTTTTTCTGAGCTGTGTGAAGAAAAATCAAATAACCTGCTGCTCTGCCACCTATTGGTCCCCTTACTGTCCAATCACTTCTCTGGACAGCCCTGCAAGGGAAAGCCTGAAGACCAGCAACATGATATGAAAACTGCTGCACAACAAATAACAGAAATCCTGGTCATTACATTTACTAGAAAGACAATCTGAACTGTGGCGCAGCAGCACAAATATACACTCGTATTTTCGACATGACACACGTGGTTCTCGTGAATCTTGTGGTGTGGATAAAAAAAATGTGTCAGCAAATAAACCTCCATGTTTTACCGGGGGATTATGGAAATTTAGGAGCATAATTACATGGTTGCTAATAGCCAGCAAAACCTCAAGATGATGGCTCACGTCATGCAGGAAATCCTGCTGTTTTATGATTTTAGTGAGCATTTTGATGAAAATCTACTTGTAAAGCAGAATATTTTGTGCTTGATGCAGATATATGAGCTCATACCTGCAGCTGTCTTGAATCTGACGAGCAGTCACAAACAGATGAGTGTATGATGTTCATTATGATGCGCTAACACTCTGATGCAGGATTGTTTGGGTTTGTTTCAGCGACACCGCCATGCATGATCAAAAACTTATGTTTGAGTATTTTTAGTAAAGCTCTTTTTGTTTTCCTGGCTGCTGCTTAAATGTGAAATTCTGGCTAAAAAAGCACTCGTCTTAACTTGTAAAAGCCTCTCAAACTTTCCACCATGTTTAGAATTTAAAACTTGCAGTTGAAAGTTTCAGTGGTTTAAAAGCTGAAACGCAAGGAGCAGAAACATCTCCTTTAGGTGCTGTAAATTCCTCCTCACATTCCCGGGAAGCATTTGGAGAATGCTTCATGCTATCACACACCATTTACCTCTGTCCCTCTGTGATGTGTTCACTGACTAGACTGCTGATATTAGCTTGAAAATACCCGCGTTGGCTGCTTGGAGACCTGTAAAAAAGCACTGATTCTGTTTTGTTTGGATCACTTAGCACTCATATCTGTGTGTTCTATGTCTTTCAGGTTCACAAACTCCAGAGAGGCCTAAAAATATGTAGCAAGACTTATTCAGGCCCTGTCCACACGTAGCCGGGGATCTGCCAAAACGTAGATATTTTTCTACGTTTTGGCCTGTCATCCACACGAAAACGGAGTTTTTTCACTCGAAAACTGATCTTTTTAAAAACTCCGGCCAAAGTGAAGATCTGCGTTTTCTCTGTTTTGGGTGTCTGCGTGTGGACGGACAAAACCGGAGTTTTAAGGTCCGCAACGTCACTTTCGGCAACAAAAAAATGCTGACATCACGTGTGCGACCTGTGTTTACACTAGCCGACAGCATGGAAGCCCTCAGAGCTGTGCTCTGTCAGTACCCGATCCATCAATTGTCCAAGCGCTTTTTGCTTGTTTGTTTTTGCAAGCGGAATTACTGCTCCTTGCGGAAGACCACAGACGAAGGACGAGGTTAAGAACGGGGGAAGTACTGCCACCTACAGGTCTGGCATGTCCTTAACAACGTATTTATCCGGGTACGTGTGGACAGAGTTTGTTTTTAAAACGTGGTGGTGTGGATGCAAGTTTTTGGAGGGGCGGATATTCGTTTTCAAAAACCCCCGGCTACGTGTGGACTAGACCTCACACATGCATTTTTAGCCTTAGTCCTCAGTTATTTGCTTTGAAGTGAGTTTTGAGAGGCTTTCATTGTCCTTTCATGTTATCATGAGGGCGATGGTGGCACAGGAGTTAAGTGCTCGCCCCATAATTGGAAGGTTGCAGGTTCGAGTCCCGCTCAGTCTGTTGCTGCCGTTGTGTCCTTGGGCAAGACACTTAACCCACGTCGCCTGCTGGTGGTGGTCGGAGGGACTGGCGGCGCCAGTGCTCGGCAGCCTCGCCTCTGCCAGTGTGCCCTGGGGCAGTTGTGGCTACATCGTAGCTCATCACCATCAGTGTGTGAATGGATAAATGATACACTGTAGTGTAAAGTGATTTGGAGTCCTTACTCTGAGAGGCGCTATGCAAGTGCAGATCATTTACCATTTATAGTGTTGATCAGGCAGAGCTTTGTTGCCAGCGTTCCATTGCATAATGGCTTCAAACACGTATATAATAGTTAGTTTTTACGTAAACCATTGAATGAAATTACACAAACTGTCTGAGCTCTAGTTAAGGTGCTTGCAATAGTTTGTGTATGTGTACGTGTACGTGTACGTGTGTGTGTGTGCGTGTGTGTGTTTGGGGGAGGGTACATTGGAACTTTGTCCCCCCCAGTTTCAAAATCCTATCTGTGCCCCTGCTGGTAGTCCATAGTAATCCCCAGAGGTGTGGACTCGAGACCCATGACTTGGACTCGAGTCAGTCTCAAGTCATTATTTTAACGACTTCTGACTTGACTTGATAAAATCTATAAAGACTTACGACTTGACTCGGACTTGAACGCCAATGACTTGCAACTTAAATCGACTTGCATTTGTTGACTTGATGACGACTTGAGCACATTTGATATTTTAGCACAAAAGTGGCACGCTGTGGACAAAATTCATAAATCATTCTTCGTTCTGGGTTTGATTTACTGCTAAATGCAGCAGCACTTTGTTTACAACCAGTTTAAAGTTGCACTTTTTGCTTGTTTGAGCAAAGAAATGAAGCTTTTCGAAGCTTTATTTCTGGAATTTATTTATTATCATTGTCATTAAATTGAAGTTGGACAGATGACTTGATTATGACTTGAAAATTCAAAGTTAAGGACTTGGACTTGACTTGGACTTCTACATCATTGACTTTGGACTCGACTTGGACTTGGTTGTCTTTGAGTTGGACTTGACTCGAGACTTGACTGGAAAGACTTGTGACTTAATTGTGACTTGCAAAGCAGTGCCTTGGTCACACCTCTGGTAATCCCAAAGCACCGTGAGCACCAGTGCGTTGTGGTGAAGAAAGACCTGGGCCAAAAGCTCTTACCAGCACAACAACCATAACAGAGTTGCAGGGGGAGGGATTTCTGAGCAGCTATCCTGGAATCATCATGAAGATGTTCTGGATTATTCCTTAGTTCAGTCAAATCTATATTTATTACTTAAAATATGCAGAAACTGTTCAGGAAGTAAATAAAACACATCTGAAAATAGCAAAAACAAACAAACAAAAAAATAAAATACCCCCCCCCCTTTTTTTTTACAAGCTTTTGGAGACAAGAGAGAAGAACAACAACCTTTTAATGTCACGATCTTCTTCTTCTTCTTCCTTTCCGGTTAAATGGCGGGTGGCAACCAACTTAAGGTGCATTACCGCCACCTACTGTGCAGGAGTGTGAGTCAGAGCGAGGAGAGAAAAAAAAAAAAAAAAAAAAATATATATATATATATAGAAAAATAATAAAAAACTAAATTCTACTAAATACCTTAATTTTCCTAAGAAACTCTAGCACCAACTTATAATGTCACGATCTGCCCCTGCCTTCCTGACTGTGTTCCTCTCCTGCCCTGATTAGTTGTTTATTGGTTTCACCTGCCCTTGTTGACATGCCCAGGTGTTCCTGATTTTCCCCAGTGTATTTATACCTCCTGTCTCGTATGTCCTGTGTCAGATCATTGTTGTGTTTTCACGGTGTTACATTTGCTCCTGCTGTACCGTCCTACCTGCCATATTAATTAAACCATTTTTATTTTTTCATCCGTTGCCTGCTCTTCTGCCTCTGGAACCCCCACCACACATGGTCCACCATCTCCATCCTTATAACGTGACATTTAAGGTACCATTTACTGTCTACAAATGTTGCTGCTTGTTCAAGAATCAGCAAATTTCAGAAAATTTACAAAAAAGATTTTTCTTTCTTGGCTTTGGATTTGTTGCAGTATCGCCCATATTCTGTTAGCACATGTAGAAGAAGAAGAAGAAAATATCATTACTATAGCGCCTCTCAAGATAAAAATCATGAGGCGCTTCACAAAAACAAAACAAAAAAAGTTAAAATATAAAAAAGCATTTAGAAAATGTTTAAAAATATATTTAAAATGAGCAAAAATAGGCAATTGGGATTTAAAGGAAAAAAATGTTAAGAAAGAGAGAGAGTGAACAGGAAAGAGGGAAATCAGTGGATCCTGAGGAAGGTGGAATAGGTGGGGAGAGCAGAATAAAGAGAGAGTGGTGAAGAAGGTCATACAAAAGCTACTTTGAACAAGTGAGTCTTCAGCTGCTTTTTAAAGGAGACCACTGAGTCCACTGATCTCAGGCTCAGGGGGAGAGAGTTCCAGAGTCTGGGGGCCACAGCAGCAAATGATTTGTCACCTTTGGTCTTTAGCCTGGTGCGCTGCACAACCAGTAGGCTTTGATCACTGGACCTCAGGGACATGCTGGGGGTGTAGGGACAAAGAAGATCACCAATGTAAGATGGTGCTTGTCCATGTAAGGCCCTATAGACCAGAACCAGGATCTTGAAATGAACTCTGAAGTTGACTGGCAGCCAGTGAAGCTGGAGGAGAAGCGGGGTGATGTGGGTGTGTTTGGCGGACTTGGTCAGAAGCCGAGCACAGGCATTCTGAACCACCTGTAGACGGTTCAGGGAGGTTCTGCTCAGACACGTGAAAAGAGAGTTACAGTAGTCTAAGCGTGAGGAGATGAAGGTGTGGAGAACTGTCTCAAGTTCAGAGCGAGACAGAATGGGACTCAGCTTAGCAATGTTCCTGAGATGGAAGAAGGAAGAGCGAATAAGAAAACTGTAGTAGATGTTTAGATCATAACCATCTTTTGCTAAATGGATATATTGTTTAAAATGTCTGTGTTTATTTTCATGAACTTCAAATGGTGCCAAATGATCCCAAACCAACTTGACATCATGCATTTGTGTAATGTTTTGTGTGGCTGCTGCAGAGAACATCAAATGGAGGGTTTTCATTGGATCATGTTGGCGTCGTCAACAGAATCTTGCAGACACTCTGAGATGATCTCAGAGTGTCTGCAAGATTTTCAGGGCTGTGATGAAACAACTGCCACAGTTTGGCTTGATGCTCCATTTCAGGCCTGTCAGAAGAAGTGTGACAGAAAACATATCGGTTGGTGTGTTTTCACTCATTCGTGCCAACAACTTCCTGGTGTGTGTTTGACACTGACAATAAACATTCAAAAGTAAACGAAGTGCCTTTTCATTCCTGCAGTGTAGCCTGTAAGACTGGCTGCACTTTCTCAGTCAACTTTTATGAGTGGTCATAATTTCCCTTTGCACAACTGGAAAGGCCCAAGTTCCCTGGAACCATCACACTGCTCCCTCTTCCTTCCAGCCAGACACATTAACACTCCTTCACACCCAACTGAGCACAGCACCAAAGAAGAGGAAGGCACGTGTCGACTAAAAAGATTAAGGTTGTTCACCACCTAGAATGAAAAGTGAAGCACCAAGTCTGGATTCCTGACAAAGGTTTGTGCTCATCGTCCGTAACTGTCGTCGTCTTTTTTTGCACAAATTGTATTAAATGTCCTGCTGCTACTAACTGCCTCTAGTGGATGTTATTTAAGTTCAGCAGCTGTCAGAATAAGTACATGCTGATGTTTGCAACTTGGCAGCAAAGTTCAACATTCAGCCGCAAATTCTGGAGACTTTCCTTTTAACTTTGTGTGAGTTGTGTCTGCTAGGTGCCAGCAGAGAAACCGGCTATTAAACAGATGGGAAGAAAAGACTGAAACAGGAAAAAATGATGTCTAATTGATTACACACACACACGCACGCACGCACACACATCAAAGGTGTTGAAAACATGCTCAAAATATGACTCAAAAGCAAAAAAATGTAAAACACCATCATGATCTCATGAGTTATTGTTGGTAAAACTGTGAGATAGCCAATTAGGCAAGATGTTTAAACGAATCACGTGGAAACTAAAGTGGACGATCTTAAAGCCAGTGTCTGTTCCTGTGATCTCCGTTCAATTCCAACTGGTCAAATAACTGCAGCTCCTCCATGGTTTTGTTGGTGTAGAATCATTCCAGTCTGCAGGGACCCACCGGACCTCTGCCTCCACCATCTTTTCAAGCTCCATTTTCAACTGCTTAAATGATGTGGCAATGTCTCCGTTAACGATCAGCTTGTCAAACAGGTGACCGTACTGCCTCTCCAGAAGTTCAGCCGAGTCAATCATGTCCTCAAAATCCTCCTCCTGTGGACAAAAGATGCTGAATGAATGAATGAGCGAACGAACGAACGAACGAACGAATGAATGAAGCCCTGCACCTCACAGAGACCGGACTGTTGGTGACTTAATGAAAAAATATTCCTGAATTTTCAATTGGAATCACACAAATGTGTTACTTTACAGCTACACTGAGAGGTTTCTATATAGATGGGTTATGTGGGGCATATGGCATAATTACAAATTTTTAACAATTATGCAGTTTCATTTGTCACAGTTTAGTCATTTAATATTTTGTTTTCTTTTCATATTCTTCACCAGGCTCTCCCACAGAAAGCAAACATTTCTAACGCTGTCTGACTCAGAAACTAAAATGAGTGTGGTTTGCGATGAGTTCCAGATGCGAGTGAGAGTCGAGCGTGCTAACCAGTCAGCCAAAGGGACATCCCCTTGGCCAAGTAGCCAGGGCGCATGATCAATCGGGACATTGTGACAGGACGCTCACACTGTCACATCTTCCCCCCTCTTTCCACAAGCACATCCTCGTGCTCCCACGCAGGGTGCCACAAACTTCACATCCATGGACCTACTTGACAGTACTACATGGATCCTGCCAACAATGCCAAATGTGGCAAGGTGGAGAAACGAGGGCCCGGGCGGGATTCAATCCCCAGACTCCCGAGTGAGAGTCGCGTGTGCTAACCAGTCAGCCAAAGGGACATCCCCTTGGCCAAGTAGCCAGGGCGCATGATCAATCGGGACATTGTGACAGGACGCTCACACTGTCACATTAGTATGAGGATTGCTGTAAAGTCACTGACACTAGTCAGTGACTTGATGCAATTTGCTGGGTTCCTTATATAGGAAACATTTTTTCTTATTGGCTTAATGAACTGACCTGAATTGGAATGTTTATTATGTGAAGTCCCTTGAGATGACTCTTGTCGTGATTTGGTGCTATATAAATAAACTTGAATTGAATTGAATTGAATTGAAAGTAGTAGAGTGTGGAAAGTGGTCAGTATGTCCTCCAGCAGTCTAAGCCCATAGCAGCATAACTACAGAGAAAATTCTGGATAACCTAGCCTTTTAGATGGAGGCATGTTGGAGGCAGGGCAAGGGAGAGCCATCTTTACCGACTGTATTCTCCACTGTACACTGCAACTCCCTCTACCCACCACTCACCCAGATCTGGGCTTACATCAGAATTTAACCATAGGCCCTATCAAATAAAAATATTTTAAGCCTAGCATTAAAAGTAGACAAGGTGTCTAACTCACGGACTAAAGCTGTGAGCTGATTCAACAAGAGAGGAGCCTGATAGCTAAAAGATCTGCCCCATTCTATTTTTAAATAGGTAACACTTCCTTTTACAGTCCCCTAATAACTAAGTACTTAAATGGTAATTACATAGTAAGTTACAGTGTATTATTGTTTCTGAGTTCTTAAACAGTTATTACCATGTTACTCAGGTTTAATTCTAGTTTTCATTTTATTAATCATTCCCAGTAAATACTGCTTTACACAATAATTACACTTTATTACATTTATACACTTTAAATTATTATGTAATTGCCATGTAAGTACTTAGTAATTAGGGGACTGTAAAAGGAAGCGTTACCTTTAAATATTCTAGGAACCGCCAGTAAACCTGCAGTATGAGAGCGAAGTGTTCTGTTAGAAACATATAGAGCAATCACTGATGTTTGATGGAGCTTGATTATTAAGAGCTTTATATGTGAGAAGGAGGATCTTAAAATCTATTCAGAATTTAACAGGCAGCCAATGTAGGGAAGCCAAGACAGGAGAGATATGATCTCTCTTTTTAATTCTCATCAGAACTCTGAAGACTTTTAACTGCATTCTGTGGACTTCCTGAGAGTAATGAATTAAAGTAATCCAGTCTTGAGATCATAAATGCATAAAGTAGTTTTTCAGCATCACTCCTGGAAAGGATGCTTCTAATCTTTGCAATAATGAAAGAAGTAAATTCTGCAAACCTGTTTAATGTGGGATTTGAACGACAAGTCCTGGTCAAAGACAACACCAAGGTTACTTACTTTGAGGCCAATTTAATGCCGTTTAGGTCAGGTGATTGACTAAGCAGTTTCGTTTTCTGAAGTTCCGGTCCAAAGATGAGAACTTCAGTCTTGTCTTGATTTAAAAGCAGAAGGTTTAGAGTCATCCAATTTTTTATGTCTTCAAGACAAATCTGTAATCTAACTAACTGATTAGGTTAATCAGGGTTAATGGATAAACACAACTGAGTATCGTCAGCATAACAGTGAAAATTGATCCCATGCTATCTAATGATTTTACTAATTGGAAGCTTATAAATATATAGTAAAAAGAACTGGTCCAAGCACGGAACCCTGTGGTACTCCACAAGTAACCATGGAGTATGAAGATTTGTCATGTACATTCACAAAAGGAAATCTGTCATACAGATAGGATTTAAACCCACCTAGCTCTGTTCCTGTGGTCCCTACAACATGCCCAGTTATTCTCGTAACCCGGCTGTACTCTTTTTTTCTTGAGCTTAGCATAAAACACAGGAAGTCAATGGATCCAACTAGCATTATGAGTAAAAACGCCCTTAAAGTCACTCAGTAGTGATCCCTATTCTGCTTGGTGACTTAAATAATTAGACTGACTGCAAGTGAGAATATTTAGCAACACAAAGGAATCACAGATGCTATTTTAGATGTGGGACTACTTTATAACAAGACATATAACCTAGACATTGGATTTTGGATTCATGAACTTCTGTTGGGCTGTACTAATTGTCTGTGTAATTCTGAGGAGAGGAGTTGAAATCCACAAACGAGAAGAGGAGTTCTCATAGCTGGCAACGAGACAGTTCCCCCCTTCTACCAACCATCACAGCACATGCTGCTCTGTCTCCACCGTTCCTAACAGCAGAACTTTCTACTCTTCCCTTAGTCCCCTGCATTCTAAAATAAATATCTTCTTTAAACGTTTAATTGCTGTGTTTTGGCTGAATTTCCGAGTCTTCAGGTTAAATCCATTACAAAAACATCTAATATCTGAACCAGTGAAGTTCTTAATCAAATTAGTGAAGTGTACAAAACTAACGGTTTCTGATAAATCTTAAATGTCAAGATTGTTCATCTCAAGTGCTGTTGTCGGTTTCTGTTTCATTTTGTGTGGCAGCAGGCTTTAATCAAGTGGGTTTAGTTTCTAGTAGACGTCTTCACAAAATCTAAACCCAAGTCCTAGCTTAACTGATAATTCTAGCTTTGTAGTCTTGCTCAACTTTACTTACTGAAAAGATCTTGACCATGTTGAAGCTTCCTTCATCACAGACAAACTTAGCTCTCCTCCTGGTCAGGCGTAGCTCCTCAATCCCGGGGGGTTTCACAAACACCACGTACGGTTGGAATTTAGAATTGTACAAGTGTTTTATTTTCTACAGAGGAAAATAAAAAATACAGGGATCAGATGAAGACACAAGTGGTTCTCTATTTGCCTTAGGCAGTGTTTTGCCAGTTATTTCAAAAGGTAACTCACATACTTAAATATTTACGTCAAAAAGTATTGCGATTGTAGTGGGATTAATCCACCTGCCACCGAGTAATTGGGTGACCTATCACCATTAGAGGTGCTAATATAAATATAGCCTGGGATGGCGCTAGCGTTCTCCCTGCTTTGCTGCAAACGTCTGCTTCTGCTGGCCTGTGAGGTGCGGTGAATTTGAATACAGGATTGCAGCATCAGGTGAAGTGTGAGTATTATCTAAACTCTGCAGTAGCACCATGGAGTCTGTTATTGATCGATTGCTCCTGCCTCAGGAATTGCTGGCAGGTTGTCACTCTGAGAAATGGAGGGCGCCAAAGTAAGACAGTATGTACAGCCTGCTCTCCTCTCCACTCAGCTGTTAGCATATAGGAAGATCATCAGTTTGACTTCCAGATTGAGCAAGTTGTGGGTCTCTACGGTAGACCCTGCTGTTCTGCTATGCTGCCGTGTGCGTTGCTCAACCGGCACCGAGTTCTGCCGTTTATCTGCCTGTTCCACTTGTCGTTGTGCTGCACTGCTTTTATTCCGCATCTGTTGTGCTGTCGAGTCATCGGAAACATGGTGGCAGACAGTTTTCCTCCCATGCAAGGCTAATTCACTCAGCAGGTTTGAAGGCAATTGTTGCCTTCAAACTCGCAAAGTGAATTTCTTGTAGCATGGGTGAGCCACTATGGGTTGAACAAGCAGTCTGAACACTGCTTCCTTCTCGTGGTTGGAGGCTCAGTTAGCAATCAAGTGTGAAAAAGTACCCTAATGCCCCAATTCCACTACTCAGCACAGCTCAGCTTGACTCTGCTCTACATGGTTTTGGTGGTTTTTCCTTTACAACTTAGAAATGGCTCTAGCGGGTTGGCTTGACATTATGGGGTGGCAACACTTCACCAAACTCAGACTCTGAAGAAACCCAGAAATAGCCCCTTTACCTCATGATTAAACAAATAGAGGTTTAAATCTGTCTTTTTGTCATAATTTTTACCATTTAATCCTTGCAGGAAGCTGGTGCCGACAGCAGGCCTTGGGCAACAACCCTGGACAGGTTGCATGTCCATCACAGTATTGCATGGAAAAATAAAACATTCACAAACACACTGAGGGAAACTTTTTAGTTCCTAACTCGATTACTTGACTACATTTTTACATCAACCATAGTGTCAGAATTTTTTGAACTAAACCAAGTGTGTCCAGTGCCCTCTGGACCACTTGTGGCCATGATTTGTGTTGTCCCCATCTTGAGAAAGATTCCTTGTTGACCTGTCAGCTCCTCATTTCAGTTCTCATAGAAAAGTCTTTGACAGTGGTTTTGATTGTCTTATCCCAGTAAACCAAGTGTCATGATTCTGAATGGACTCAGTAATGTGATGAGGAAGTAGGCAAATTTGATGGACTAGAGACCTGTTCAGGGTGTGTCCGGCCTCTTGCACGAGAGTTTAATTTAGTGGAATTTCAACCACATTTTTTCAGTGCAGCAGACTGATGTGTGGCCTCCCATCAAACCAAACTAACCCCCAAATTCCACTACCTCCGCTCCGCTCCGCTCCGCTCCGGTCCGCCCCCGCCTTCCGCAGCCGCTCGCTTCCGAACTCAGTTTTTACTGGTACCCGCTCTACAACGGCTCCGCTCCGGTGCGGAGACCTGAGGGGGGCAAACAAGCATGCGCGGGATTTTCGAGATCTTGCGATACAGTCCGAGCAATAAACGCGGAAGTTAGATCCAAACACCCGTTGTGTGGGAGAAGCATCGGCATGAACTGTTTAATCTGCCCATCATTTGTGTTGAGAGATCAGCAGTGTTTGGATCAACAAAGTGTGACTACTTTGATAGTGGAAACTGTATTTATGGCTTACTTTTGTGCATTTAAACTTCAGCCGCCACTGATAGTTGTTAAAAGTTGTTAAACCTGTGCATATGAAACAAAAAACGCCTTTTGTTTATCGAAGTATTGTGAAAAACGGAAGTTGTGCTCGCTCCTTTTCCTGTTGGGCGTTTGTGATTTCTGTCCATTTACTGCGGAGGTGCTTCGGCGTCCGGCAAAAATAGGATCGATTCTATTTTTGCCGGACGCCGGAACAGAGGGCGGCGCACGGCGCCGCACTGCCGGAGCACGGCCGCAGTAGTGGAATTGCTCTGATTGACTAGAACGGGACCGATTTTGCTCCGGCGTTCGTGTCGGAGCGGAGCGCAGCGGAGCGGAGGTAGTGGAATTTGGGGGTAAGTCCCAGGGCAAAGTGATCCACATCTCACTCTTACTACTTAAGATGAGTCAGTTCAACAGAAAGAAAACACTCAACCAAATACAACGATTACACTACATGAGAGACAAAAACATTGGACTGTTTTTATAGTGGTTTTATGAACCAAAATCAGTAAATTTCTAAATCATATAAGCATCAACATGACATTATTGTTGATGATAATATGCTTACACTAGGGTGTAGATCCAGGAGGCAGATTTTGCCTTCAGCCATCACTCTATGCACAGAGTCTAGATTTGTCCCATAGTAGTGACCTTTATAAACTCCGTATTCTACAAACCTACAGACACAGGGGGAGGGGGGATTTAGAGCAAAGCTGCGGCTGTCAGAGTAAAACAAAACAATTAAGTGTGAATGAAGAGACTAAAACAGGACAATGTGTAGTAAACCTTTTTAGATGATACATGGCTCTGATTCTACTGTATTTCATTCAAAGATTAACACCTATGTTTAGCCATATTCAGCCTTAAACAATCATGTAAAAGTGAATTAGAAAATTACTTTACAATCGTGTCCCTTAAATACAACACCTATGATCCAGAAGCTGTTCTTCAAACACTTGATTTGAGACAAAATGATATTCCACCCCATCGCTTTCCTGATTCCTCCTCTCGCGTGTAGTATCTGAAAGGCAACAAAGCAGGTCTGAGACAACGATCAAAGCACAAAATATGTTTCAGAATGCAGGAGGGAAAATGGAGACAATCATGAAGCCTAATTTATTTGTCTTACATGGCACACTGACGCCATAGCGGTCAGGGTCTGAGATCACCAGCCTCCTCTTCAGTTCAGTAACACCCACACCACTTGGCCCTGGAGACAAAAATCAATGTGTTCTGTAAGTATTAATTCTCAAGATCAACGAGTAGCAATGCTACCCTCAAGACAAGCCCAACAACAAATGACCCATCTGTATTAATCATCACAAAATTAAAAAATAAAGTCTAAGAACATAGAACATAAAATCAGTCTTTATGCAGATGATTAGTTACTTTTTCTCCAGAATTCTCAATCCTCTCTCTGTCAAGCAATAGAACTGATAAACTCTTTTTCAACAGTTTCAGATTACTCAATAAACTGGTTAAAATCCACAGTTCCACCAATTAATTTCCCTTTTGCCAGTTTGCTTCATACACAATTTGAGTCAGGGAATATCACATACCTGGGAATTAATGTCTCTCCCAAGTTGGCAGATCTAACTAAATCCCACTTTTAAAGAAAGTGGAAGATGATATTGCAAGATGGAAATCCTTACTGATATCACTCATGGGGAGGGTTGCTACAATTAAAATGATGGTCTTACCCAGAATAAATTACTTATTTTCAATGATCCCAAACAAGCCTTCATTTGACTCCTTTAGATCTCTGGACTCCTCAATCACTAAATTCCTTTGGCAGGATAAACCTCCACGAAATAGCTTAAAAATGCTTCAGAAGACCAAAGACAGAGGAGGACTGGATTTACCCAACTTTTATTATTATTTCTTAGCCAACAGGCTGCAATATATACCAAGATGGTTGCAAGATAACCCACTTGATGAGTCCTGGCTAGATATGGAACAGACACTTTGCAATACAATAGAGCTTTCAGATTTACCATTTATTAGCTCAAGCATAAGAAAACATGAAGGCTTTAAAAGTATTAGTATCAGAACCTCTCTGACAGCATGGTGGGAGTATCTAAAATTGACAGAGTCAGCACTAATACCATGCAGACGCACACCTATCTGGAATAATCCTGATATTTTGCTAAATAACAAAATGATGAACCTTCCGGACTGGAAAAGTAAAGGAATCCTATACCTGCAACATATATATGAAGGATTGGACTTCATCCCATTTCAAATTCAATTCAATTCAATTCAAAAATACTTTATTAATCCCAGAGGGAAATTGATTTAATAGAATAGTCTCCCAATTTGGAATAGATGAATATCTTTTTAGAATACCACCAGATTAAATCTGCAGTTAAAGAAAATTTTAAGCTTAATAAAGTAGAATTACTAACACCATCAAGGGTATTAGACTTCTATAATCTCAAACCCCCCAAACTACTGTCTAAAATTTATAAAACACTGTCCAAAATAGATGATAGAATAGCAATCCCTATTGAAAAATGGGAGGTGGATCTATCAGTCAGTTTTGACCAGAACTTCTGGTCCAATTTTTTTTTTAAACTTTAAAAAAGATCACACACCCAATTTACAACTAATTCAGTACAAAATTCTACACAGAGCACAATATACAGGTCACTGGATGTTCAGGATGGGGTTTGTGTCGTCTGACACCTACACACACTGCACACACTGCACAAACAACATTCCTGACAATTACATTCACGCACTGTTCCTTCCACCTGTCCAGGAATTTTTCAGGTAGAGTATGTGAAGACCTGTCAAAGTGTCTGAAATGTCATATCCCAACTTCACCCTCTCTTTTCTTGCTGGAAAACCTGGACGATGTCCCAACTGAAACACCTTTGGTTCACGTGGTTCTGACTGCCATATGCATTGCTAAGAGATCTATCCTCATGAATTGGGAAAATAGAGATACTCTTTGCATTAACCAGTATAGAAATATTTTGTTAAATCATATTACAATTGACACAGCCTCTGCTTCCACTCCAAGTCAATCTCTCTGGACTCCTTTGATCGGTTCCATCAAATAGTGATGATAGGGGTTCATTGATATTGTCCTGCAGGATGATGTGGGTGATGGGGCGGAGGGTCTACATTTGGAGGTCTGGAGGTGGGTTCACTGAGGGGATCTGGGGCTGGGGAGCTGCTGCCCCCCTCTGGAGGTGCTTGGGTTGCCTCGGGGGTGGACTACTGGTGGTTGTGAGTGGGGCCCCTTAGGGGGTCTCAGCGGCGGCCATGGGTTGCTGCCTGGTGGCTGCATCGCCCCTGAGTAGGTCTGGGTGGAGGCCTGGGGGCTCCGGGTGTGGAGGTGGCTGGCCCCATTTGGGGATCTGGGCGGGGACTTGGGGATGAGATCTTGACTCGTAAGCTGCCGGGAAGAAGGCAGGAACAAGCGGCAGTGCATGGCCCAGGCTCAAGGGCCTCAGGTGGACCTTGGCTCCTCTGAAATAGCAACTCTGTCCCATCACGGGGGAGGGGGAAGTCCAGGAGGGGGAGGACCCAACCTTACCTAGATGTCCCATGTCTTACATGTTCTGGAAGTTGTGCAAATGCAGGGAGTAGATATTCTGCTGGGGTGGGGCTGGGTTGGTGCCCTTGGACTCCGTGGGGCTCTGTGACACTGCTGCTTTGGACCCTGGCGAGATGAGCTGGGGTCTCCATGCCCTGGGGGCATTTTGACAACAGAGGTGCCTATTGGGGCCAGTGGGGGAGCTGGCTCCCTGAAGAGCTTACGCCAACCAGCCATCCTCATACATTTTTCTCCTCCTGCTCCTTCACATCATCACACAAACATGCATATAGGACCTTGGGTGATGGGCAAGTCAGGGGTGTGGGTGTCGATCCCATTTCTGCATTCCTGTCGCAGTCTGCCCCTTAATTTTATTTGCACATTAAAAACTTCCACCAACGACATTCCACACAAACACACACTTAGGGCCTTAGGAGTGAGCACACTCAACGGCATTTGGCAAGGGGATCTTTCCATCTCATCCCGACTAACACTGTATTGGAGCAGGCGGAGGGCGACTAGGGGTCTTAGCACACCTCTGTTGTCACTTGGCTTCCCAGGGCTGGAGGCTAGGAGGGGGAGCTGGCCGTCATGTTGGGGTCTGGGATGGTGGGTTGCTTTGCTCTGCGTTGGGCGGGGGTGCCTGCTCATCATCACCCGAGTAGAAAAGGGAAAACTCTGGGAACCAGTGATGGTTGTACCCCTTGTGCAGCAGTACCGGGACCAGAGTGAATAGGGTGTGTATGGGGAGTGTTAGTGGGTGTCTAGCGTTCATTTTTCTAAGTTTTCGGTTGTATATGTAAGTGTGAGCATGAGGGAGGGAGTGTGTGTCTGTGTCTGTATATGACTGTATATGTCAGGTGGAGTCTTACCATACCATAATTTATTTATATAGCACACTTAAAACGTAGCATGGGAGCTGCCCAAAGTGCTGCACAGGCTGGACCAAAACACAACCAATCTAAGCAACTAAAACAGAAGATAAAAATACCGATCAAAAGCAGATAAAACATGAGGAATACTGAGAACACATTAAAACAATAACACAATAAAACACTAAAACGAATCACTGTCTAAAAACCACATTGTAGAAGTGGGTTTTTAAACGAGATTTCAAAACCGCCAATGATGGAGCCTGCCAAACTATAATGGGTAACTAGTTCCACAGCTTTGGGGCAGCATGTACAAATGTTCGTTCACACCGTGATTTGTATCGCATCCGGGGTGTGCAAAGCAGCAGGAGGTCAGCTGATCTCAACATGTGTGTGGGTACATAGGGAGAGATAGGGAGGTGCCAGGTTGTTGAGTGCTTTAAATACAAAAGTCAACAACTTAAACTGTACTTTGAAAATGACGGGGAGCCAGTGAAGATGTTCCAGGACAGGGGTAATATGGCTTCGTCGGTGCATATTTGTCAAGAACCTGGCAGCAGCGTTCTGGACGACCTGCAGCTGATTCAGGGCAGAGACTGGAGCACCAACTAGGAGGACTCCTCCCCTCTCCTGGGACTTCTTGTGCTGCTACACATCTTCATCTACCCTCCCCCTGCCACATTTGGTGTGGAGTGTGGTGCCTTGGTCTGCCTGAGTGTTCGTGGCTCCCGGGTCAGGGGGTTTAAGATTTTTGGAGTCTGCCTGATCGATCCCGGTGGCTGACTGGTGGGATCTGAGTCCCTGGGCTCTGTTGGGTCCCCGGCGGGGCTGGTTGCCCCTGGGTCCCGGGTCGCTGGGTTCTGGGCTCGGCTGGCTTGGGGGTGGGAGGCTGCGGGCGGGCCTGTGGGCTTGCCGCTGATATCTCCCGGGACTCTGCCGGCTGCTGGTTGTGGCTCCCCGGGGCAATCCTCTGTGCCTCTCGAGATGGGGCTGGGGCTTTTCTGGTTACAGTCTCTCTGGGGTCCCTGCGCTCTGGGGCAGCTCCTGGATCTCTGGGACTTGGACCTCCCTCCATTTCCTACACAACTTTGGGGGCAGATCTGTGGCCCCTCACACTTTATTGGACGCTCCTATAGAGAAACCTTACATATACAAGCGTGTGTAAACACACAGGTGCTCACATGGTGCTCTCATAAGTATGGACTTGGGCATTTTCAACACACGTCTTGAGGCGGTGGTTGGTACTTAATGCACTGTGATTTATTATCGTGTTCAGTAAAACAATGTTGATTTATATTTCCTCATCAGGTTGACACAGTGATAGCTTGCTCTTGTTGTGTTGTCATCTGTCCCTTTTGTTTGTTTGTTTTTCTCTTTCTGCCAGTCTAGAAGCAAACTCTGTCTCCGTGTCTGTTCGGAATTACAACCATTCAAAAAACAATAACAATAAAGTTTTAAGTATCAGGCGTGACATTAAATGCAGAAGCTTTGATGCTCCACCTGAGAGTAAATCTGTAAGGCTTGTCACCAGCATTCAGACATCAATTTAGTTTGCTTCACAGCCAGACAGGACATGGGGAAAAAATCATCACAAAAGTAAAGACTGAGACAGAAGGAGCTCTGATTTCAGTCAGAAATGGTGCTCAAATCCTCGGAGGTTAATGTGTCTACTCTCACTGGAAAGTTTGTAACGTGATATCTAAATGTAACATCTGCAGAATCAGTGTCACTATTGTGTAGGGTCAATGGGATGAAGCACACTGTTCATTTAGGATTTTCTCTGAGCATGACTTC